TCTTTCCCCCCTGCCCCCATCCCTCTCTGGTCAAATTAAAATAAATAAATAAAGTGAAATAAAATATTTCTTTTTTAAAAAAAAGTGAACAAAAAGAAAACTAAATAAAGATATTGCCATTTTTAATTTTTTAACTGGGGGGGTGGGGTGGGCAATCTGACAAAACAAATACTTCCTATATTGCTAACTTTCTTCCTGTACCACCCGAAGTGAAAGACTTACAAAGCACTACAGGGGAGTTTAGATATATAAAGAATGATTTCAGTAGTGAGCTATGAAAAGAAGGCAGTCTCAATATCTCCTAAGACCAAACACTTAACCACTGCCAATAACCATTTTATTTCCCTTTAACTGGCAAGACTGTTTTGATAACAAAGCAGACTGAACACTGGGGAGGGTAACATCTAAATGTCATGAGATACAAAGGAACAAATAGATAAAAACTAACCCTAGAATGGCTTGGTAACAGTTTTCAGTAAGGCACCTTATAGTACTGTTTATTTTTTAAATCATTGTATGCTGTGACCAGCAGGTGGCATGGTGGTTAAAACACTGACTCCCACATGGCTAATCACAGTTTGAGTCCTGGAGACGGAGGCTTGCTTTATCACTTTTCTTCTCTCTCTGTCTGTCCCTTTCTGGTGAGTGTGCATGCCAAATAATAATGATAAATAAAATAACTCAAAAAAATAACTGCATGCCAGTGTTTTAAATAGAGAATTTACTTTAGTGCTACATATAACTAGGTTAAACTTTTTTGAGAATGGAAAAAGTTCTCTGGTAGATGAATGCATTTTCTTAAGGTTTGCTGTTTACGCACTTATTTGTGACTAGAGCGTCAGCACTATTATGGAAAACAAGTATATTACTGGCTTAGATTTCTTTCAGGAGGGTGAAGTGGCCTTGGAAGTAATTAAGCCTACAATTTAAGAGTCATAAAAAATAATAGCTAATACTGGGCCAATTGGTGGCATGGTGGTTAAAGTGGCTGGATTCCATGTGGTAGACTGTGCAGTTCAAATCTTGGACCCGACAACTTGAAAAACATGCCGAGCACATATGCACACATTTCCAAAATCCCAAAAGGAGGGAGAAATGGAGAAGGGACTGTGGTATCACTATTGCCACTCACCCCCAGGCGCAGCTTTCTCACATTCTCTCTCTCTCTAACGAGTACATATGCCCTCTGGCAAGTTTTTTAAAATAACAATAGCTAATACTTAAAGATTATCATGTATTCTAAGAGTTCTACATATATCAATTCATTTAATCCTTACAATAATCCTGAGAAATAGGTACCACTATTAAGTCCACTTTACAGATGGGCAAACTAAGGTAGAAAGGCTAATAAGTAACATCCTCAAGATCGAATGAAAATTCAAAAGTGCCACCATGGTCAAACCCAAGTGATCTAACTCACAGTCCATTCTCTTAACCACTATGTTAAACTGCATCTTGAAAAGAAAACAAGTACGAGCTGTGATTTTGACATTTTCCATTGCATATTACCATATTTTATCATATCAGGCTGAAATTATTCATAAAATATCCCCCATGATAAATATAGAATCTAAACATTTTTAATATAATTGTACAAGATGGGAAAAATAATAAAGCTTATACAAAGATCAGACACATTGCTAAGAATTTCACTGTACAAAAATCAGAAGCTTAGGACCAGCGGTTGGTGTAATAGCTATGTCACTGGACTCCCATGTAGTCAACCGCAGTTCGAGTCCCAGACCCAGTGGCTTAAACTCATGCCAGGCACATGTGTGTGTAAGCCCAAGATCCTGAGAGGAGAGTGGAGGAGAAGGGATTGCCGTGGCCATCCCCCCCCAGGTGTGTGTGTGTGTGTGTGTGTGTGTGTGTGATTTCTTGCTTTCTGTCTCTCTGTCTCTCTCTGCCTTTCTGGCGAGTGCATGTACCCGATAGCAAAAACCTCTCAAAAAAATCCCCAAAACCAACCAAACAAACAAAACAAACAGAAGCTTATTTTGATTGAAAGATTTCAGTAAGAATGTAAAAGAACATCTCTTAGCACAACATACCTTTTTCTGTGGTCTCAGTTTTCTCACTCTTTTCTCCATTCATCTATTTACAGAAAAAAAAAGTTCAACTTTAGTACTTCACTGAGATGGAAAACCTAAGAAATTAAGTATGCAGAGTATTGTCATTTTACAAAAATATAGGAGGGCCAGCAAATGGCATGAAGGTTAAGGCAGCTGGATCCCACATGGCCAACTACACAGTTAAGAGTCCTGGACCTGAAGGCTTGGAAAACATGCCAAGTATATGTGAATGCATGCCCAAAATCCTAAGGAGAATGGAGGAGAGAGGACTGTGGTGTGGCCATCCCCTGGAAGGATGCCTTCTCACTTTCTCTCGCCTCTTTCAGTCTCTGCCTCTGGTGAGTACATGTGCCCTATGGCAAAAATTAAAATGACAAAAACAAAAACAGATGAATAATGACATTTTCAGTTTAATTTGGCAGAAGACAACAGCTAAAATCATTAGCAACATATCAAAATCATAGGACATTTCCTCAAATTTTCTTTAATTAAGGGCCAAATATAGTTTAAAAACACAAAATTATTATATAAATTTAATATTTAATTTATTTAGAAAGTAATCCTGGGCTGGCTCTGTGCCTGATTGTTAAAGCAGCTGGATGCCGGGGCCAGCAGGTAGCCTGGAGGTTAAGGCAGCTGGATCCCACATGGCCAACGCCATGGTTCAGGTCCTGGACTCAGCAGATTGAAAAATCACACAGGGCCTGTGTACATGCACACCCCAAATTCTGAAAGGAGAAAGGAAGAGAAGGGACTGCAGCGTGGCCATCGCTCCCTCAAGGGGTAATTTCTTTCTCTTGCTCTTTTTCTCTCTATTAAGATCCTAGGCAGGTTCAAGCACACCTGAAGTGTTATTTTTTTTCAAGCCACCAGTACCAGGACTTGAACCCTGGTCAACCATGTAAGATTGTCCTTCTTCTGAACAACGATTAACTGCTGTACTACGGGCCAGTCCTCAAAGCAATATTATTTATCTTATGTTACGAGTTCTAAAGTCAAAAGACCAGCTTTACTACTACTGCCTAGCCCAATGTCACAAGTAATTCAATTGTATGCAGATGAGGATCCACATATAGATGACAATCGAAAGCTACAAGCAATACCAGTCTTTTACCTCACACCATATATGTGAAATACCTTTTGGGTTTTGTCTTTCGAATCCAATACATTCTCCAAAGAACCTTTAGCCAGTTTGCCACCATCCTCTCTTCCTGTTTCCTGCTTTTTCTGTTGCTGCAGCTGTTCCTCTTGTCTTTCTTTTTCTTCAAGTTTTTTTCGAACTTCAGCTTCTTCATATCTAATTGAAAAAAGAAGTCAGGATGTTTTTAAGTGCCACAATGGCAAAGTAATGGAGTTCAGTTCCATAAAATTGGTAAGTAGCCTGCCTTGAGATATCTGATGGCTTGCATACTATCTCCCATCAGCTGAAACCTGACTCTCCTAATGCTCCTTACAAACCACACTCACACATCTGCCCTCAGCAGCCTTCTAGAGATTTACTTCAAATTGCTCAAGAATCAGAAACACTGTGCTCTCAAAGTGAAGAAATGGACAATATAAAAAGAAACTGAATAATGGGACCAGTAGATGTTGTAATGGTTATGTCACTGGATTCCCAAGTAGTTGACTGCAGTTCAAGTCCTGGACCCGGCAGCTTAAAACTTACCGTGGGCATGTGTGCGTGAATGCCCAAAATCCTGAGAGGAGAATGGAGAAGGGATTGCAGCATGGCCATGCCTCCTGGGGGGATGATAGAGATTTACTTCAAATTGCTCAAGAATCAGAAACACTGTGCTCTCAAAGTGAAGAAATGGACAATATAAAAAGAAACTGAATAATGGGACCAGTAGATGTTGTAATGGTTATGTCACTGGATTCCCAAGTAGTTGACTGCAGTTCAAGTCCTGGACCCGGCAGCTTAAAACTTACCGTGGGCATGTGTGCGTGAATGCCCAAAATCCTGAGAGGAGAATGGAGAAGGGATTGCAGCATGGCCATGCCTCCTGGGGGGATGATTTCTCACCTCTGTCTCTGTTTTTGGCAAGGGCACATGCCCTATAGCAAAAAAAAAAAAAAAGGAGAGAGAGAGAAAGAGAAACGGAATAGAAATTCTAAAATCGAAACATATATATAAAAAATTAACTTAATAGAAAATTGGGGCTAAGAAAAGAGTCAGTACATGAAGATACAGCAATACAAATGATCTAATCTGAAGAACAAAGAGAAAATGATGGGAAAAAAGGGGGCTTAAGGATTTGTTGGACAACATCAAAAGATCTATTGTATATATAGTTAGAGTTCCAGCAAGAGAATGAAAATGGAGCAGAAAAAATAGTTGAAAGATATGAATTTACAGATGCAGGGAGCTCAGCAAATGCCAAATAGGAAACATCCAAAGAAAACAACCCCTAGCCATAGCACAGTCAAACCAAAGCTAACAAGAAAATCCTAAGTCAGAGAAATATGACATAAGACATCAATAATATAAATGATAGATAAAAATTTCCATATCAGAAACAATAGAAGCCAGAAGACAGAATATCTTTAAATGCTAAAAAGAAAAGAACTCATCAAGCCAGAACCCTTTATCTAGCGAAAATAACCTTTAAGAACAAAGATGAGGGCCAACTAAGGGTGTCGTGGCTAAAGTGATGAATTCCACGTGGCCAACTGTGTGATTTGAGTCTTGGATCCAGTCTCTTGAAAAACACATGAGGCAACTTAATTTCCACATTTGTATCTTATTATATTTCTATCACTCTCTAATAATGCAACAGAATATCAGGAAGAAGGATTTCTAAACTCATAATAAATTTTTGAAAGAAATTGAAAAAAAAAAAAAAAAAAAACACATGAGGCACAAATATGTGTGTGCCCAAAATACTGAAAGGAGGGAGAAATTAAGTAAAAGGAATTGTCGTATGACCATCTCCCATAGGGTTGCTTTCTCACTCCCTCTCCCCTCTCTGGTGAGTGCACATACCCTCTGTCAAATTACCAAAAAAAAGTGAAAGAAAGATATTTTCAGATAAATAAAACCCAAGACTTTGCTTCCAAAAACCCTACACTATCAGAAATGCTAAAGGAAGGTCTTTAGACTGAATGGACATGGTTCTAGATGGAAACTTATGTCTTTAAGAAGGAAGAGAGTGGCCAGCTGATGGTTAAGGCAGTTGGATCTCACATAGCCTACTAGGCGGTTTGAATCTAGGACTTAGCAGCTTGAAAGATAAACTGGGCACATGTGCATGCATGATGCCCCCAATGCGAGAGGAGAGTGGAAGGGAGGGGATTTCAGCATGGCCATCCCTCTTGAGGGGTGCCTGACTTACCCTCTTCTCCCCTCTCTGAAGAGTGCATGCACCCTATAGCAAACATTAATAAATAAGTAAGTAAATGGAATGAAGAGTGCCAGAAATAAGCACAAGTATTAAGACTATATTTTTCCTCTTAATTTCTTCAAAACTATTTAAGGTAAAAATTATAATCCTGTATTGGGGAAAGTTTCTAATGGGTGTAATACATGTGACAATAACGCATAAAGGATATAAAGGATACAGGATGGTAAATAGACTTATGACTACAAGGTTTCTCCATTTTGTAAGAAAAACAACAGTAACTAAGGTTTTGTACATATATAAAGAGAGAAATTCCTACTTTTTCCAAATTGAGAAATACATCTAAAAGCCAACAGATAAAGTGAAGTTCAAAAACAATTAACTCAAAAGGCAGAAAACTGAGGAATAAGAAAGATATGACACCAAAGAAAACAAACAGTAAAACAACAAGGTTAAGTCCATAATATATTGACAGTTATATTAAATATGCATCAGAGAAATCAGAATCAATGAAAGATCTAATTATATGTATGATGTCTACGACACCCTTCAAGTATAGACGCAGATAAGCTAAAAGTAAATGGAGTGGCTTTGAAATAGATTTCAAGATGCAGAATATTTCCAAAGTAAAGAGAAACATAATAATAAAAGGGTTCATTCATCAGAAATCTAACTGTATGTTCCTAAAAACAGAATTTCAAAATACATGTAACAAAGTATAAAGTGTGACATGTGGAAAGATGAAAATGTGGAAAGGAAGATAAACAGTAACAATATCCCTCTCTTGGTAATTGTTACAACTTAACAAATAAACAAAAAACCAGCAGATGGCATAATGGTTACACCACTGTACTTCCATGTAGTCAACTGCAGTTAGAGTCCTGGACAGAGGCTTGCAACTCCAACCGTGCACGCATGCCCAAAATCCTGAGAGGAGACTGGAGGAAAAGGGATTGCAGTGTGGCCGTGCCCCCAGGAGGTGATTTCCCACTTTCTGTCTCTGTCTCTCGGGCAAGCCCATGCACTCCATATCAAAAATCTCTCTTAAAAAATAAAATAAAATAAAATAAAATAACACAAACCAGTAAAAGCAGGATTCATAATAACACTATCAACCACTTTGAACTAGATGACACATAAAAAACACTAAACTCACTGCACTTTCAAGTGCCCACAGTACATTCACCAAAACAGACCATACACCAAACCATGCTTAGTGGTATGTTCGTTTTCTCTACTTTTCTACTACACTGTGTGAGAAGTTGGTAACAGAATGATGTATTTACCACCTATTATCGCTATAGAAACAATGACTCCAGATTTTTCTATCTCATATGCCAGCATCTCCTCAGTTGTTGGAAAAGTCATGATGTATTTTTTTCTATGCTTCTCTATGCAAAAGCACATCATGACTTTTCCAATGACCCAGTATTTCACCATTATAAAACAGAAATGAAAGACCTGAATGTGGAGCAAAAGGTACACAAGCGTTTTACCTAGCCCCTTAGATACAAACCTCTAGGGTGCCATGAAGAAAGGTGTGACGGAACAAGAATGCTTCTACTGCTAATAATAAAAATGGCAAGCACTTACTAAGTTTTTACTATGTGCCAGCCAGCTGGCTGTCTTTGTGCATGTGTTAATTTGCTTAACATGTTCAAAACCCCTGAGGTCGGTTTTATTATTGTCCCATTACAGATGAGGAGATGAAAGCATTAGGAGGCTAAGTAATTGCCCCAGGTCACACAATTAGTGAGAGCTGAGGTTCAAACCTAGGGAGCCTGGCTCTGCATACTTACCTACTGGTCTCCATCCTCTCTAGTGTTCTGTGCTGGGACAGTATGGGAACCGTCTGCCCTGAGAAGTAAGCGCAGTCAGCCTGAATCCAATTTGAGGGCAGAAATGAAGAAACTTGAAGATTTACTTTTTTCCTGTCCCCGCCCCCCATTTATTCACATCTTGCTCCTAATCTTGCATGTGCTCCACTTCTGCAGTCTCCACTAATCCACTTAAGTAGAGCTGGTCTCTCCTACTCTGGAGCTTCGGCTGATAAACTGAGATCAAGGCATGCTCTCCATCTGACAGACTTCTGGTTCCTGCCGACATAATCCCTTTCACTAGAATCTGGATACTCCAGACTTGGTCAAAATTAAATCAAAGACCTTTGCTAACATGAATGTACAAGAAATAGGTAAGTAAAGAAATATTTGACGACTATTTCCTAGTGGCAGGTGATGCTGAAATCTGTTTTGTAGCCACTTAGCAGGTAACTTGGCTAAACTGCTTTGTGAAATCTGGAACAATGTCTACCCTTGAGTAGGGAGACATACACTGTGATGCTGGATGAACGGCAGAATTGAGAATTTTTACCTTAAGGTGTTTAGGGATTTAACCTTAAAGTTATAGTCTATCCTCCAAACTCTAGAGAGCATCCTGACCAGAGAAAAATCCTAACAGAGAACAGATTTAAGAGGCATAAAGGAGAAGAAGAGGTCTGTGGCTGACTTATTGAAGAATCAGGGCAGGACAAACGTGAAGGTAATGTAGCTGCTCCAAGTGTTAATAAAAGAAATCAAACATCGGATATGGGGTTGGAAAGGGCACACAGGAGAAGCTATACACCACAGAGGTCTTCACATGCAGCTGCAAAGGAATCCAGCACAGGAAAAGTTCAGAGTTTATTCAAAAAACTTTCAAATTAGAAAGTACCCCAGGGGCCATTCAGTAACAGGGATCTCAATGACCTGAAAATAGGCTCTTCTACCAATGTGTAAAAGTATCTAAATGTTGGATCATTTCTCACTGACTTCCTTTATAAGTTTAGAGTTCCTTTCTTTTCTTTCTTTTTTCTTTAAGAGAGATTTTTGCTATATGGTGCATGTGCTCGCCAGAAAGATAGTGAGAGACAGACAGAAAGTGAGAAATCACCCCCTGGGGGGATGGCCACACCACAATCCCTTCTCCTCCATCCTCCCCTCAGGATTTTGGGAACACACACACACACATGCCCGACATGAGTTTTAAGCCGCCAGGTCTTGGACTTGAACCACAGTTGACTACATGGGAGTCTAGTGACGTAACTACTGCTATCTGCTGGTCCCGAGAGTTATTTTCTTAAAGGAAAAGAGTATCAAGTCATTACAGAAAATTACGTTTGCTTCACGAAACACCTACTTTGTCACTGTAATCAATGTTTACTTTTTAAAAATTATTTATTTATTATTATTATTATCACTAAATTGGCTATAGGGCACATGTTCTCCTCAGAGAGACAGTGAGAGTGAGAGCTAGTGTGAGAGAGAAGAAACCGGGAAAGCAAACCACCAGGTCCAGGACTCAAACTGCAGTCACCCATGTAGAGTCTAGCACTTGAACTACCATGCCACCGGCTGGCCCCAATAATCTATATGTATTTAATGCTCTGATACTACACACAAAATTCTTTTCCTATGAACATCACACATTTCTTTTTTTTTTTTTTGGAGAGGTCTTTGCTTTAGGGCACATGCACTCGCCAGACAGAAAGAGAGAGACAGAGAGACAGAAAACGAGAAATCACCCCCCAGAGGGGATGGCCACACCGCAATCCTTTCTCCTCCATTCTCCTCTCAGGATCTTGGTCATGCACGCACACGGCATGAGTTTTAAGCCACCAGGTCTGGGATGCGAACCACGGTCGACTATAAGGGAGTTCAGCGACATAGCCATTATGCTAACTACTGGTCCCCCCCTCCCCACCTTTTTTTTTGGAGAACATATTTCTTTATAAAGTGCAGGTCAGGCCTTGTCGTGGTGTTACATGCTGGACATAGCTGCTTGGCAGGCTAAGGTCACATGGGAAGCCCACCCTTTCTTTTTTCTTCAATTTTTGTCATTGGGCACATGCACTCACCAGACAGAGACAGAAAGTAAGAAATCATTTCCCAAGGTGATGGCCACACTTCAATCCCTTCTCCTCCACTTTCCTCTCAGATTTTGGGCACACACACTCATGCACCCAGCATGTTTTTCAGGCCTTTGGGTTGGTCCAGGACTTGAACCGAGGAACTGACCACGTGGGATTCAGGGCCTTAACCACCATGCCATTTGCTAGCCCCCTAGCCTACTCTTTTTATGCAAAAAATGCATTATGACTTTCCTGACAACCCAACAGTTACAGTTATGGGGATAAAAAGAGTTAAAGACATTCTTTCACTTCTATCACTTAAATATGAATCATTACATATTTATTCCTTTTCCTTTTAAAGAATTCAGTAACCATAATATTTCCCTCTCCCTTTTATTTCAAAAGTAATAAAATATAATAGCAAATAAACATTTTAAAATAGAAAAATCAGTAATTCCATAACCTGAACTCAACTATTTAACTGTCGTCATCTTTGTCAGTGCACACACACACGCCTGTGACCCAGGCTGGCTGTGCCCGAGAGCGGGTCACAACAAGGACCCTGCTGGGTGTGCTCATCTCTGAGTGCACATGCACTCTCTCTCACTCTCTATTTCTAATAGCGAAGAAAAACAAAAGACGTGTCAGGAGGCAGATAGTGAGACAGTGTAAAACAATGCTTGTGAAGCTGACTCACACAGAGGGGCTCTAGGTTCATGCCCAGAACCCTCCTGAACACGCATCTAACGCCATGATATACCCTGGCTCACCCTGTGCCATGGCACCAGAACCCTACCAAGGGTGCAATCTCTCTTTCTCAATTGCTCATGTTGAAAACAAACAGTTTCAAACATTTTTATTTTAAAAAGAATATTTTAGGGGGTGGCAGGTGGTATGGTGGTTGACAGTGCTGAACTCCCACATGGCTGACTGCAGTTTAAGTCCTGGCCATGGCAGCTTGCTTGCTTTCTTACTTCCCCACCCCCACTCTATCCCTCTCTGGTCAAATAAAATAAAATAGAATAATTTTTTTAAAATAAAGAACATTTTAAAATATAAGTAATATATGATACATTCTTAGTAAAAACAATTCGAGCCAATATAGAACATGTTAGTCTGGTTACATCTTCTGGTTTCCCTCATCTATCAATTGTTTACATTTTAAACCTCTTAAGTTGCCTCTTCTTACTAACCAAGCTTCAGCAGCTTCTGTCACTTGAAACCAGTTCCACTATCCTCTGATTCTAATACATTATTGGGAATGCTTTTAGATTTATCCATTAGCAATTTTTATGCTGTAGATACAGATGAAATTTATCTACTATGATCTACCTAACACCGTTATATTGTTCATAAGAAAAATAATTAAGGGCCAGCTGGTAGTGGCTGGATCCCACACGGCTGACTGCATGGTTCAAGTCCCAGGTCTGCAGCTTGAAAAACACATGGGGGATGTATACATGTCCAGAATCTCAAGAATGCAGAAGGGACTGCAGCATGGCCATCCCCCTGGGGGTGCTTTCTCACTCTCTCTGTCTCTCTTCAGTGAGCACAGGTGCCCTATATCAAATTAAAAGTGAAAAATTTTAAAAATGACTAATCGCCAAAAATATACTGTTTTTAATTTGTAATTACTTTATGAGCCTAGAAAGTCAGTAATGGCAATTCATTTCTGCAACTAGGCAGATCAAAACTACCAGTAAATACTTCATTCCCATAAGATCAGTGTTCTGTAGCACTAGGGCATATGAAAAACTGAATTTTTCTCAAGACTTCCATCAGAAAATTATCAAAAACTGGACTGGCTCTAATCTAATATGCCAGTGCTTACCTTAACAATCTGTTATTCTCAACAGTTTTTAAAATTTCAAAAAGGAATATTAATAGTAAAACATGAATGTAATATAGGTGATATAGGTGACAAAATTTTTATGTCCCAGTTAATGTAAGACTTATTTCTAAGAACTGGGATATTATATGCATAGTCAGATATAAATGAACAAGTCCTAATATTATTTTGATCTTCTAAATTTATATATTTTAAAGAGGTTTTTGCCTTAGGGTGCATGCACTTGGGGAAGGGGGGTGAGGAGGGTCAGAGACAATGAAAGGGAAAGTGAGAAATCACCCCTCAATGGGGATGGCCCTACTGCAATACCTTCTCCTCCATTCTCCCACTGGGATTTTGAACATGCATGCACATGTGCCAGGCGTAATTTTCAAGCCACTGGGTCTGGGACTTGTGGTCAGCCATGCGGGAGTTAAGCAATGTAACCGCTACACCATCTGCTGGCCCTAAATTGACATTCTTTTAAAGATTTGATAAATATACCTGAGTTTAAGGCTTTCAGAGAGTCTTTCAGCTTCTTCAATAGCTTTTTTGATGTTTGTAGGTCCAAGTATTGAGTGAAAATAGTCCTAAAATTATAGGAAAAGCATTCCACACTGTTAATACAGCACATTACACACAGCACTGCTGCAAAAGGCATTAAAGTCATATTGTTCATAAAAAGGACAGTTTAGATGAAAACATTACATAACTGAAGTATTTTTCTAAAATATTAATCTACATAAATACACAATTCTCCAAACATTTCAAAATGTTTCTTCATGCCATAAACATGCTAAAGAAAATCGACTAGCCAGTAAATTTAACTTATTTATAAATCACCACTAAGAAGTGTAAATATTAGCTTATTGGGAAAAGTCCTGACCTATTTTTGTTTTCCTATGCAAAAATGCATCATTCCCTGACAACCTAAAAATAGTTATTGTCTAAGTGCCAAAGAGCAAGGCCTTTAAGAGCAAAATATGTTTTCTTATTACAAACACTTTACTATTTTATTCTGTAGTCCAAAAAAAACAAAGCAAACTGTGTATAGATACACAGTATTTCTTTTGTTTACTTGTTTTAAAGCTGAGATATTTCTGCTTTCACCTGAACTTAACAATACCTACCTAAGTCCTAATTGAAGTTAAACCATTTTGGACACATAAAGCAAGTTTTACTCTAGAAGAAATCTTGATGAACTAAAACCAAAATGATAAAATAATAAACCATTACTAGTATAATTTACCTCTAAAAAGACCCACAAAAGGCCTGGCACATAATTACTAACAACCAAAATGAATTTCTTTAAAAAAAAAATCACTACTGCAAGATGGCATTCATTAGATCCTATAATCAAAGATATTTTCAAATCTGGGTTGGTTTGACATGACCATAGTTAGCTGAGTCAGTTAAATGAATATAGTTTTGATTTGCCACAACATATCAATAGAACGTTGCAAACTGAGCCGATTAGCACAGTGTGTCACAAACAACAGTAATCAAAATGTGTAGGGGCCATGCTCTATACCAGAGAAACCAGATCTCACATAGAGACTGTGGCTCTAATTTCTGTCCTGGTCATCCTGAAAGATGCCAGGCCCATGTGCAAGTGTCCAAGATCTGAAAGGCTGGAGGACTGGAGGAAGGGAATCGTGGCATGACAGGACTCTGCGAAGGGTGCTCATCTATCTTTCTCTCTTGCTATCACCTGTGCACACATACACTCTATTATGAATGAGAAAAGAACATCTTTTTCAATCTGTAAAAACAGTGCCACAGGACCAGCAACACTCATCTTTGGCTCCTTGAGGGAGCCATAAAGTGCTGTGCTAGGGAAGCAAATCTGTTGTAACAGTTAGCGTGCGTGGGGCCAGCAGGTGGTGTGGCTAAGGGTGCTAGATTCCCACATGGCTAACTGTGGTTCAGGTACTGAACCTAGTAGCCTGCTTCTTACTTTCTCTCTCTTCCCTCAAATTTTAAAATATAAATAATTAAGTTAAATAATTATAAAATAAAACACTCACACACCCACACACAAACAGTTACCATGTATCTATCTAGCCTAAATAGATCACTTTTTAATTCAGTACTTTCTCCTAAAGCCTAAATAATGTTATAAGGGCCCCTTTCACTATGTAATCCCAATAAAAGCACACAGTTTATCACTATATCACTATAGTGACTTCACTTACCATAATGTCCTGACTAGTGATATAACAATTATTAAAAAGAAAACTTATGTAATTGCTACTGTTAATTTTAGATCAAAAATATAAAACCCCAAAATGCTTGTTTTATTCCTTTCTACACATGAACTCATTAAGAAGTCAGCCTATAAGCCCAGCTTACTTCTATGTTGACACTGAAAAAAAAAAATTACTTTGGAACATGTCTGTTAAAACTACTGGGAAAGGGTGATATAGTGGTTAAGGCTCTGAAATCCAACATGGCCAACCACGATTCAAATCCTGGACTGGCAGCTTGAAAATCATGCTAGGTTTATGTGCATGCATGCTCAAAATCCTGGGAGGAGAATGGAGAAGGGATCTCGGTGTGGCCATTTCCTGTGGAGGATGGTTTCTCATTTTCCCTGTCACTGTCTCTGTTTCTCTGTCCTTGGGCGAGCACATACTCCTATGGCAAAAACCTTCAAAAACAAAACAAGTCCTTTTGGTCGGAACCAGCATCTTCCAGTAATTAACCAAAATGACGAACACAAAGGTAAAGAGGAGAGGCACTTGATACATGTTCTCTAGGCTTTTTAGAAAACATAGAGTGGTTCCCTTGGCAACATAAATGCCAATCTGCACGAAAGGTGATATTGTAGACATCAAGGGAATGGGTACTGTTCAAAAAGGAATGCCCCACAAATGTTACCATGGCAAAACTGGAAGAGTCTACATTGTTACCCAGTATGCTGTTGGCATTGTTGTGAACAAACAAGTTAAGGGCAAGATTCTTGCCAAGAGAATTAATGTGCGTATTGAGCATATTAAGCATTCTAAGAGCAGAGATAGCTTCCTAAAATGTGTGAAGGAAAATGACCAGAAAAAGAAAGAAGCCAAAGAGAAAGGGACCTGGGTTCAACTAAAGCGCCAGCCTGCTCCACCCAGAGAAGCACACTTTGTGAGAACCAATGGAAAGGAGCCTGAGCTACTGGAACCTATTCCCTATGAATTCATGGCATGATGGGTGCTAAAAATAAACTAATCTGTGGTCTATAAACATGTTTGCCTTAATTAAATAGAATTATGTTCCCTCCCCAAAGCTAATTTTTATTAGGCTCTAATTCATTTTGTAATATCTTTATTCAAATTTAGTATTTTTTCTTTTTTTTCTTTGGAGAGGTTTTCGCTACAGGATGCGTGCGCTCGCCAGACAGACAGAGAGAGACAGAGAGACAGAAAGCGAAAAATCACCCCCCAGGGGGGATGGCCATGCCGCAATCCCTTCTCCTCCATTCTCCTCTCGCGATCTTGGGCATGCACGCACATGTGCCCGGTGTGATTTTTAAGCCACTGGGTCCAGAACGTGAACCGTGGTCGACTATGTGGGAGTCCAGCGACATAGCCATTACGCTAACTGCTGGTCCCAATTCAAATTTAGTATTTTTTCACCTGAAAGATGCCAGGTGGTTTGGTTTATATAACAAATAAAACTCAGTTGGTTAAAAAACGAAACAAAACAAAATTATCAAGAAACACACTTGCTTAACACAGGTTGAGCACTCCTAATTTGAGAATCTGAAATTCGAAATGATCAAAAATCTGAAATCAATGATCCAAAATCTGCAATTTTAGCATCAACATGACTCCACAAGTTGAAAATTCCACACTTGATCTCACCTGGTAGGTTGCAGTCAAATGTGGCAATATAAAAACATTGTATAAAACTGTCTTCAGGCTATGTGTATAAGGTGTATACAAAACACAAAATGAATTTCATGTTTAGACTTAGGTTGTCCCATTCCCAAGATATGTCATTATGTATATGCACCTATCCCAAAAACCTAAAAAAAAAAAAAAAAAAAAGACTTCTGATTCCGAGCATTTCAGATAAAGGATACTCAACCTGTGTTAGGAGAGGTTTCCTATTTCTGATTCTCTTTCTCTAAAAAGAGCACAGTTTAAGTAAGCATAAATGCATTAAAATTTTCAATAGTATGACAACTGGTAAAGTAAAAAGATATCATCCAATTCCTATAGAACTAAAAATTTCTGCTTCTCAGATTTACCAAACAAGAACTTTCTTACTCCTGATTATACAAATTCAAATGACTCATGATTTCCTAAGTAAAATGATTTCAATAAATATTCATTGTTACTAAGAATGGCATAGATTTTAAAATATAATTTTATATAGAGGCTGATAGGTGGCATGGAGGTTAAGGCACTGGACTCCCACATGGTCAACCATGGTTCTAGTCCTGGACCTGGACGCTTGCTTTCTCATTTTCCCCCCTTTCTCTTCCTCTTTCTCTTTCTGGACAAATTAAAAAATAATGAAATTAAATTAATAATTTAAAAATATATAATTTAATCTAAAATTTCTGTCCTTATATTTTCAATATATTTCCTCCCTTTGTCAGGTAATTCTGAAAAAATTGCTCATAAACTGATATTTTTTTCAATGAGTAAAAAATAAATGTATGATGCCCTCTACTACTGAAAGAGTTTTGCAAATTACAACTTTTATCTAAATCTTAAAATTCTCTAATATAAAGAGAAAACAGATACAAGTTTCTGAAGAAACATGTTTGGAAATAAATGTTTGGTGATATATATTCTCCCCTTCTTGATTTAAAGGATAACAATCTGAAAATAAGTAGTTGGTAAATTTAATACCTCACATACTTGAAGTGCACTAGAGAGGTTGGACTAAATAAAATACAACAACAGCAACAAAATCAGTTGTAAGACAGAGCAGATGAGATAGCCTGGATAGAGAAATGAAAATAGTCTTTATATCAAAACTAGGAACTGACTAACTGAAGCATGTGACGTAAGCACTGAAGTTACCTGAGCCTTTGCCAGGAGTTTCCTAACCTGAACTTCTGCCACTTTCACCTAGATACTCCCTTGGAAAAATACAACAGATACTCTGTGGAAATGGAAAAATATCTTATCAATGAACATTTACTCCCAAACTTCTCATGGGGGAAAAACAAGTAGCTACCAAAACATCCCCAACTTTGTCAAAGAGGAAAAACAAATAAAAAATAAAAAAACCCCACTAACTTCTAAAAATAGAGCAAAAAAAAAATTAAGTACACAAAAAATGGCCTTATCGCAGCAAACAAAACAGTCCACACTAGAATAACCTCAGCTATTCAAACTTCAAATCTTCCAAAAATATTCTTTTGTAAACACCATTTACACTACTTCCAAAGCAATTCCTTTTTAACAGATTTTGAAGAGGTTGAAAAACTTATTTGAAATTGGGCAAGTCTCTGTCTCTTATCTGTAGATAAGCATGATAAAAAAAAGTTAAAGCTGTTTTCCCCTGGGGCAAGCCCACCCCAGCCATTTGTGGACAGGTGGATGAAGCTCCAAAAGCAAGAGGTCAACATTCCAAAACCAGATATAAAAGCCAGCAACTGGAGACCAGCAGGTGGCATGGTGGCTAAGGTGCTGGACACTCCCACATGGCTGACCGGTTCAATGCCTGGACCTGGTATGCTTGCTTTCTCACTTTCTCTCTCCCTCTGGTCAAACTAAAATAAATGCATGAATAAATAAAGATTAAAAAACAAAAGCCAGCAACTACTATTACCATAACTTTGCTGGTAATAAGAAACAACAGCAATGTTTTATCATCTTTAGGTAAAACATTAAAACATCCATTAACTAACAACCAAAAGAAATTATATCAGTCACACTAATCTGAAAAAGAAAAAGAGAAATTCTATTATTTCTGTAAGTCAGTTTAAATGAGGCAAGACATTTTTGATTGGTTTTCGCTATAGAATGCGTGCGCTCACCAGACAGACAGAGACAGAGAAAAAGAAAGCGAGAAATCACCCCCCAGGGGGATGGCCCCGCCGCAATCCCTTCTCCCCTGTTCTTCTCTCAGGATCCTGGGCATGCATGGGCGGCATGAATTTTAAGCCACCTGGTCTGGGACGCAAACCGCGGTCAACTACATGGGAGTCCAGTGACATAGCCATTATGTTAACTGCTGGTCCCTATTTTTTTTTTTAAACGAGATTTTTGCTATAAGGCCCATGTGCTCGCCAGAGAGACAGACAGAAGTCACCATCCAAGGGGGGATGGCCATGCCACAATCTAGTCCTCCTCCATCTCAAGATTTTATTTTAGGCAGACATGCACAAGCGCCTGGTGTAAGTTTTAAGCCGCCAGGTGCAGGACTTGAACTACAATCAACTACATGATAGCCATTACACCACCTGCTGGTCCCCTATAGGCAATATTTGCTATTACTGTCTGGTAGCAAGATTGGTTTTAAGTAAAAGTGGAACCGCCAACACAACATTCTTCTAAGTAAAAGTGGAACGCCAACACAACATTCTTCACATTTCTTTAGTACAATCTCTACATTCCTTTGCCTGTTTCTCATACAACTGAAATGCAATCATTTCCACTACTAACACTTAATCCTACTCATCAGTTTTCTCCATACTATGCCCATCCTCCCTTCCTACTCATAGCTTCAGGAAAAAAGACTAGTACTTGCTCAAAAATTAAAAACAAAAAAAAATTAAAATGAAAAGATTTTGTAAGTGATCAGCATTAATTTTGCAAACTATTTAACATGACCTCAATGTCAGTCAAATGTAAAAAACAGTTACTAAATAAGTGACTAGACCTTAAATCTTGAGAAAGTACCAGTACTTTTTTTTTTCAATTTTTTTTTTTTTTTGGAGAGGTTTTTGCTATAGGGCACGTGCGCTCACCAGATAGACAGAGAGAGACAAAGAGAGAGGAAGCAAGAAATCACCCCCCAGGGGGGATGGCCATGCCACAATCCCTTCTCCTCCATTCTCCTCTCAGGATATTGGGCACGTATGCACACGCGCCTGCCGTGAGTTTTAAGACACTGGGTCCAGGAAGCGAACTGCGGTTGACTACGTGGGAGTCCAGCGACATAGCCATTACGCTAACTGCTGGTTCCAGTACTTTTTTATTTTTGAGGTGTTTGTCTTAGGGCATGTGTGCTCAATGGAGAAAATGAGACAGAGACAGTTGAGAGGGAAAGTGAGAAATCACCCCCCAGAGGGATGGCCATGTCTCAATCCCTTCTCCATTCTCCTCCCAGGATCTTGAACATAAATGCACACATTTCTGATTTTCAAGCCACCAAGTCTAGGACTCAAACCGTTGTAGGCTAGGTGGGAGTCCAGGGATGTACACACTACACTACCTGCTGGCCCCAATAGTCATATTTCTACTTAATGTATGAGTAAACTCGATCCTACCACCTGACCTGGGCTGGCAATGATTTATTACAACAGAGACAGGTAAGACAGGTAAGATTATGAGTCTATATGTTGCTATAAATCTGTACTAATCCAAGGCAAATTAAGTGTGTGTTCACGTACACACATACATGCAAATATTAAGACTATATGTGTATATACATATTTTTAAATTTTCCCAGAGGACATATGAGCTTGAAGAGACAGACAGAAGAGGGAAAATGAGAAAGCAACCCCCATGGGAGATGGTCATGCTGTAACTTTTTCTCCTCCATCCCTTCTCCTCTCAGGATTTTGCACATGCGTGCCATGTGCACACACATGCCCACTATGTTTTTTTTTCCAAACTGCTGGGTCCAGGACTCAAACTGCACAACCAGCCATGTAGGATACAACTGCCTTAACCAGCATGCCATGAGCTGGCCCAAAACTCTATCTTTAGTTTTTTTTTCCTCTGTCTATATAAGAGGTTGAACTTGATGCTACATATTGTGATGTAAACTTTGTTTTTAGTCAAGATTTCCACAAGCAATCAATAGTTCCATCATGAAAAAGTAACTTAGCAAATAAAAATTAAAAAGCAGTACCTGCTGTTGCTTGAAATCTGGTCTTTTTTTGATAAGATTATAAACAGTCACATATTTCATATATAGAACGTAGGCTCTTTCCTCATCACGATCTAATCTGCATTCTTCTGCTGCCTTGAAGATCTTCAGGGCACTTTGTACATAACTTAAAATTAAGAAAAAAAAATATTAAAACATATTTGACAACTGGAAAAAAATACAGGTCATTTATAACATCTACAGATAATCTTTTTGTTTTTCATCTTCACTGCCAGAGGGCACATGTGCTCACCAGAGAGAGACAGAGACATGGAGAAGAGAGGGAGGGAGGAAGGCACTCTCCCCAGTGGGGCATGGTCACATTACAATTGCTTTTCCTCCATTTCTCCGTCCTGTTGGGATTTGGAGCATACACATACACGCCTGGCATGTTTTTCAAGCCACTAGAGCCAGGATTTGAACTGCGGTTGGCCACGTGGAACTCGGCTCCTGTAACCATTAGGTCATGGGGCAAGCCCCTAGACTTGATAATCTTGATAAAGTAAATTTCATGATTTATGTTGTACTACTTCAAATTTGGCACAACTTTAGAAGATTTAAGTTTGGTTACAACCAATTTTCCCCTGAGATGAGTAGTCCTAGAGATAAACCAAACATTGCTAGAAGGGTCTAACCGTAAAGACTGTCCTGTCCTTAAAGCTTTGAGAAAATCTAAAGATGATTCCACTGCTTCCTATTTGAAAATCACTCAGAAGGAGTAAAATAGACCTATTTTCTCTGTCACCACATCAACATTACGAAATTAACCCAAGAAGTAGGCAGGCCACTCTCGCTTATTCTTCCTGCCTTCCCTAAAGATTTAATTTTGAAAAGCTCGTTTTTTTCCTTAGTAATGCATATAAATATCAGTTCATTCTGAAATTTTCCTTTATGACCTTCTTTAAAGTTTCTAACACTCTCATCTTCTTCCTTGATATTTGTCTTCTTCCCATTTCTTTTTTTAAATCTGACCAGAGAGATGGGGAAGGGGGGGTGAGAAAGCAAGCTGCCAGGTCTGGGACCCAAACCATGGTTGAACATGTGGGAGACCAGTGCCCCCCCCAATTTCTCTTTATCTCCTTTAGAAAGTGACTCATTAAGACGTTCCTGTGCAATCACAGCTTCCTTTGATATCTCTTCATTGATTTTGGGGGGACCATATGCGCCATTTTATAGAGTCTCTCATTTATCTCCAGATATGGGACACCTATTTCCCCTGATTGCTGAAATTTACATTCCCCTAGGTCTGGAGTATATAACTGTCTAGGCCCAACTTTCTGAAACTCTTATTTCCAACTCTATGATAATATATCGTTAAATATCTCTAAACCTTTGCCTCTGTTGAACAAACTAAATTCAGAGGAAAAGTTCTCTTACTTCCATCTCTTAAAAGAGATAAAACTGTTAACAAGTTTACCATTTTTTTCATACCCCATTTTTTTTTTTTTGGTTAAAGACTTATTTTTTATTTAACTTTATTTATTTACTTTATTTGACCAGAGAGAGACAGAGTCAGAGAGAGAGAGAGAAAGAGAGAAAGTGAGAAAGCAAGCCTCCAGGTCCAGAACTTGAACCACGGCTGGCCATGTGGGAGTCCAGCGCCATTAACTACCACACCACCTGCTGGCCCCCATACCCCAGTTTTTATCAAATTATTTCATTTCCAGTAAATATCAAAATAGCTAAACTCTTCATCACTACTATATTTTATTTCAGAATAGATTTTGTATTCTCTATGAAGAAGGCATCAAATCTAGCCTCTGCTTTAGCAAGTATAGAGTACATGCTTGCATAAATAAAAATACAAAAATAAGCATTTAGGTTAAAAAATTGATGCCAAGGATCCTGCAGGTGGAATAGTAGTTAATGCACTGAACTCCCACAGGGCCAATTGCGGTTCAAGGCCTGGGCCTGGCAGCTTGCTTTTTCACTTTCCTTCTCTCTCTCTCTCTCTCTCTCCCTCTGGCCCAATTAAAATAATAATAATAATAAAAAAATAATAATAATAAACAAAAAGATGTTAAACTGCCACAATTAATGCTTTACTGAGTATCAGGCAAAGAATACATATCTCTACTCTTTTGATGAAAGACTACGCTAGCGTTATAGTAAGAATAAAAGTGATTGCAAATTAAGAATTATTTCATACTGTTTTATGAAAAGACAATGACTTGTGGCTGAATGATTTTGCAGAACTCTCATAATCTTTGCCTCTTAAACTTATGAGCTAGTACACTCCTCAAAGAGCAGATCATATATGCATATAAGCAGACTGTACATGTATTTTGCCAAGATAAAATAAAGAACTTCTCTAAGGAGATCTTATTTTTATTCATGTCACAGTGTAACAGTTCAAATGAACAAATTATTCTTCTAAATTGAGTGCTAAAAAGATGAAGATGAATTTATATATGAGTCAATCATATTACTATCGATCAATCAAACTAACATAGGACATATACCTCTTAGTGCTTATTTTCTCTGGTTTAACTTCTGTCTTCTTATTGAGGTCTTTTAGTGAAGAACTGAGGTAGAGTTCTTTAGGAACTGAAGCCACAGCAGGCATGATGAAAAATCTTCACTCTTCCACTTTCCCAAAGGATGGTGTATTTCATTAAAAGTTCCTTTGCTAAAACAAAACAAATACACATAATTCCATGAATTTTCCTCATTAATAATAAAACAAGCTTGCCCCATAGCATAGTGGTTAAGCACTATCCAGAGGAAGTTAGATCCCACAGGACTGACCAGCACTGGAGTCTTGATTTCAGTGGCTTGAAAAAACTCACTGGGTGCACATGCCCAGGATTTTGTTGGGATGAAAAATGGGGAAAAGAAGGATTGCAGCATGACCATGCCCTGTTGTAGAGCCAAGGAGAGGGGCTCTTTCTGTCTCCCCACTTTCCCACCCCTTGCCCCTTGTGTCATGTGCCCTCTGGCATTAAAAACAACAGAAGCCAGCAGATGGTATGGTGGTTAAGGTGCTGGACTTCCACATGGCTGGCCATGGTTTAGTCTTGGACCCAGTGGCTTAAAAATCATGCTGGGTACATGTGTGCACATGCCCAAAAATCCCAAGAGGAGACGTGCCTGCAGTGTTGCCATCCCCCCAAGAGGTGATTTCTCATTCCCCTCTCTCTGCAGTGAGCACACACACCCTATGGCAAAAACCTAAAGTGACAACAAATTAAACAGGTAAACAGCTTAAAAAACAAAAACAAACCCCCCAAAAACCAAACCAAACCAACAAACAAAAAACCTCCTAAACTATATCCTTTACTGAAACGGTTAATTTTAAATTATTTTGAATACCTATTTTGGGAGTTCAAGATATACAGGGTATTGGCCCAACCTAAGTGGCACAGTCTATAGCATAATGGACTATAGTGCTAGAAGTCACATGGCTAATTGTGGGTTTGGATCCTAAGATCAGCTTGGAAACACTCTGAGCATGTGCATAAGCACCCAAGATCCTGAGGAGCCGGAGGGCTGAGGAAAGTGGATCATAGCATAAAGGGTCTGCAGAGTCGCTTTCTCTCTCTTTCTCTATCACTCCCTCTCCCGTGTGCATGCACAACCACTATCAAGAAGGGAAAGAAAAGATATATACAGGATATAAATGAACAATTCTTTTCTATATTTTCATTAAATTACTGTTTGCGTCATTTTTGCCTTAAGTATTAGGAATCTCACTTGTAAAAGGAACTTGTAGTTAGAATAAGAGCCTTGCTCCTTTTTTTCTGTTAAAACTGCATTATAGGAGCTGGCAGGTGGCATGATGGTTAGGGTGCTGGACTCCCACATGGCTGACCACAGTTCAAGTCCCAGACCTGTGGCTTGCTTTCTCACTTTCTATTTCTCTCTCTCTTGTCTTTGGTAAAATGTAAAACATAAATAATAATAGCAACTTAAATTTAAAAATAAATATATATTTTTAAAAATTTTTCTAAAAAACTACATTATAGATCACAAGCAGAAGGAACTTTTATCTGGTAATGTCTCTTTTCTCACTGAGTACATCAATTTATAAAAGGAAACAAGTTTGGTGTGGGGGGTGGACAGGCAAGGCCACATCACATGGAACTGGGGACAAATGGTCATTTTTCTGTTTCTAGCTGAGTACACCAATACATTTTAGTTTACTTTTGAAAGGTCTTCAACATTTCATGACATTCTTTAACCAGGAAAATGGGGAGGGAATTAACAAAATAAAGACAAGAAGAATGTCTTGCCAGGCGCTGATGAGGCTGTATATGAGCGTGTATGTACGGGGAGGTATAATCTGCAAGCAGATCTGACGAGTTGAGGGAGCACTCCAGATGAGAAAGTCTCTCAATATCTTAAGTGTAACGTATAAAATGATCATAATGAAAACTTTAGGAACCCAGTTAGAGTTATACAAGGTCTTCAGCTGTGAAGAACTGATTACGACTAGAATTGAAATCTACACTAATACCTTTACTAGATTACAACTTTTTTCTTTTTTTTTTAAGTTTCTGCTATAGCGTATGTACTTGCTAGAGAGAGACAAGGATGGAAAGAGAGGGAAAGCGAGTAATCACTCCCCAGGGGAGGTAACAATGGTGTAATCCCTTCTCCTCTAGCCCCCTCTGTGAATTTTGGGCACGCGCACACAAACGCCTGGTGCGTTTTTCAAGCTGCTGGCTCTGGGATTTGAACTTTTGAGGAAGGTGATTAAGGAAACCCAAGGCTTCAGCAATGCCACCGTAGACATCTATGGAAGAAATAGGGTGCACTGGAACTTGAACTATTAAAATTGGCTTAAGACAGTAAGGTAATAGAAAATCTACCCCCCATACCCCCACAGTAACAAGTATCTCTTACTTTATTGGCCCCACCTAGTTCAGTTGCGGTTCTAAGCTATTCAAGCAGAGAAAGCCAATGTTTGCTTCCTGATGTAGTCCAGTACCTGAAATGCAAGGTCACCCCCACCCCTCAAGAAAACCAACCATTTATTTAGTTGTGACACTACTAAGTATGTAAAAATAGGACTAATGCCAAAGTTCATCAGAGTGACCACATACTGTATGTGTTTTTCCAATTTTACCCTCTATCTGGACCATTGGTACCTGTGCTTTACAGAATCGGATGTCCAAAAAGTCAGGGAGAGTCTATTTTGATGGTTCACCACAATTAGGTTTCATGGCTGGGAGAAGAGAAATATTGACTTGAACCTACTAAAATGAAAGTCTAGGGTCAGCCCTGTAGTACACCAGTTAAGCATAGTACATGGGGAACCAGATCCTACATGGCCCATTGCAGTCCGAATCCAGTTCTGGCAACTTGAAAATCATACCAAGTACATGTTGTGCATGTCTCAAATCCTGACAGGATGGTGAAATGAAGAAAAAGGGAGTGCAGCGTGACCATGCCTTATTGGGAAGTGCTTTATTTTTCTCTCTCACAAGTGTACATGCCCTCAGACAATTAAAGTAAGATTTTTTAAATGACATAAAATGAAAGTCTAGAACATGTTCTCAGTTGAATGTGTAGTTCTAATGATTACCTTTAAAAGTTGGGTTCTCTTTTCTTCATTCTTTTTTTTTTTTTTTTTGCTAAAGGGTGCATGTGCTCGCCAGAGAGGGAGGAGAAAACACCCCCCAATAAGGTGTGATCATGCTGTAATCCCTTCTCCTTCATTTCTTCATGCAGTTGGAATTTAGGGTGCACGCACACACACACACACACACACACACACACACACACACACAGGAGAAATGTTTTTCAAGCTGCTGGGGGCAGGATTTTAATTGTGTAGTCATCCATGTAAAATCAAGCTACCTTAATCACCAGGTGATGGAGCTGAAAGGTTTCAGCTGGCAACCAGTCGATCCTCCTTGTCCAGGGAGTGTTACGGCGACCCCAATCAACCACAAAGTCGGTTCTTGATGTAAAATACAAGAGGCTTTATTGCTAGCGTGCTAGGACTCCACTCTCAGTCATGCAAGACACGATAGCGAGTGAAGCCCCGAACAAAGGAGTATTTAGGTTATATAGACACAAGTCCGTGGGGTGAGGGGAGGAAAGAGAAAGTAAGATAAGGGGCTTTTAGGGTAGTTTTATGACAACCCTGAAGCTGCTTGCTCGAGCGGGACAAAAATGTTTCTTTTTACAGATGTTGCAACTAGGTCTGATTTGCAGAGACATCTGATCTGCGTTTTTCGGGGTTAGCAGAAGGGGGGGGGGAGTTTTACAAGGGTCTGGGATTCGTGGTGGTGTATTTTACAAGGGTCCAGGCTTCCTGCAAGGTGCTAAGCTAACTTGCAAATGGCTCCAGGCTTCCTACAGGGAGCTAGCGAATTGCCCCGGGCTTCCACAACTTCAGCAGTTTATCATGAGGGCGGCATCAGCTTTAGTACAGAAGCGAAAGAGACAAAGGTTAGACTTTATCTTTACAAAACAGGATAGGCACAATTTAATTTTATTCTTACAGAGCCAGCCTTAAAGCTTGAAATTTTTTCCCATTATTTTACTTAACTTTATTTATTACTATTATTATTATTTTTCAGTTTGATCAGACAGAGAGAGGTAAAGTGAGAGAGCAAGCAGTCAGGTCCAGGACTTGAACTGCAATTGTCCGTGTGGGAATCCAACATCTTTAACTACCACGCCACCTACTGGTCCCAAAGCTTGAATTTTTTTGAGGGACAAAGAACATACAAACTATACATAAGCTATGTGGGCAACTTAAAATAGTTAATCATTAGCTATTTTTTTTCTTTGTATTGCCAGAGGGCACATGTGCTCACCAATGAGAGACAGAAACAGAGGGAGAGAGAGAGAGAGAGAGAGAGAGAGAGACAGCACTCCTGGTGGGGCGTGTTCCTGCTGCAATCCTCCTCCTCCAATTCCCCTTCCTTTCGGGACTTTCAGCAAACATGTGCACATACACCTAAAGTGTTTTTCAATCTGCTGGGCACAGGACTCAAAATTGTGCAGTCAGCCATGTGTAATCCAGTCACCTCAACCACCACACCACTGGTGGGCCCAGATCTAGCTCCCTTAACCATGAGGCCATGGGGCTGCCCCACTTATTAGCTCTTTCAAAGCTGAATTCGATTCACTCAGAGTATCCTATTGTGTAGAAGACATTGTGCTCGCAGAAACTAAAACATTAGATATGATCCATTTCCTTACAAAGGTTAGAAAACTATTGTGAGAAGGAAAGTTGTAAGCATTGGTAATAACAACATAATATAGGCTAGACAGCAGCAGAGCTATAAACATAACACTTTGTGAGGCTGACCCACTTGGAAAGGCTCCAAGTTCATGTCCAGAGACCTCCCTGAGAACACCAGGCACATGAGTACTCATGATCCAGAGTTGGCTGAAGCTGAGTGTGGATTGCAGCTTTTTTATTTTTGGATTACAGCTTTAAGACTTTGTTGGGGTGTCTGTTTCTCTCATGCTGGCTCTTGTATAAAAAACTTAAGGGGAAAGATTAAGCATGATTAAAGGACTCACGGAAGTCATCATTAAAGAAATAGTATTTGATATGTCTTGGTAGCAAAAGGCTTTTGGTAGAAAGATGACGAAGAATACGAAGAGAGACGAGAAAGTAAAAATTACCTTTAGGAATCAGACACTACAGAGAATGAACAAGAATCT